GTTGTGGACTAACAGACCGAGCATCCATTAACACGTCAAAATTTCGTTTCAGTTTCACAATATACACTGTGTAATAGTTCAAAAATAACAATGTAATTGGACTTAAATTATCGTTGGAAAGAGATGTACACATCTTTATTATTATTATTATTATTATTATTATTATTATTATTATTAATACTATTATATTGATGCTCAGAAGCTATTATGGACCTAAAACAATTGTTATTTTTATCACAAAAAGGAAAACAAAGTAATTACAGCGGAGTGAATAGGTAAACAACGTGATAATTTTATGGCGATAGACATCTGGGATTCCATTTGAATATTTTCTTGCTTGGCATTAGTTACTTACTCCACGGACAGATAGAAGTGAAATACTCGGATTAATAACTTTGCTCTTTAGATTATCTATTAATAACCGAACTATAAATATTAATTCATTTTTAATTAAATGGACCCACGACTTGGTATATTACAATGAAAATAAATGCTTTCTAGTAAAAGAGTGTACGCACAATCTCAAAACGTATGATAAAATACTATTTTTGTACATTAGCAAATAATACGATGTTTTTACGAAAATTATTATTATATGGATATTTATTTTATGAAATACAGTCGTTTGTTGATTAAAAAAGTTATCTAAATTACAACTTTTGAGGGAAATGTTCATTGCACGCTATAACGCACACTCGGTTCCAAAACGATCAAGCGGAATCAGCAATCAGCGATTGAAATACACTGTATTAAAGGTGTGAGATCATCATAGCGAATTCAAGTGGAGCACAGGATTTCCAACTTTCTCCTTCAGAGCATTTACTATTTTTGTACGTAGTGTCATTCATTTACTCACATAGAAACGAGCGAGGTTCCCGCTTTCCCGTCCAACACAATTCTGTTCGGAGTAAATAGGATTGCATTGCGAAATCGCTGCGGTCGCCAAGCCCCGCCTGATTATTTTCCCACGCCGAAATGAGGTTTTGCTGATGAAAGCAAGGATCAGCAAAAATGTCCCGTCTCTTCTTGAAGTAATTTTCTGTATTTGATAAATGTGTATGACACCACATTTTTTTCTGAATATTTTAATTTTTTATTATTATATTAATTTACATTATATTAATTTATATTAACAATTAATATTATATTAATTTACAGTTAATATTCACTCAGCATAAACTTGGAATGTATAATCAAACGTCAGTACGTATGTACTTAAAGAAATACATAACTGGAAAACACCAAATTCATTTTTAACATTCAAAGGAGAGAAAAACGTTGTTAGAGTATTGAAATGGTTAGTTGATTGTATTGTGATTAATTTATTTTTTGACATTTATGATAAATGTTTTAAGGCAAGAATTGAATATATGTATATTGTTACCACATGTGATCCTTTCTCATTGATTCATTAACTGTACAATTATAATATTAAAATCTAAAAAAATGTACTCCAGTACCTACGGTTATAAAAGAAAAAAATGAAAACGAAAAGTTTAAGGCGATTTTATCCATGTATTGTAAAATGCTACATCGAAAACCCTTTAAAATTCTGCAATAAAATGGGGTTCCATCTTCATACATAACATCGTATTTCTATTGCAACGAAAATACATGTTCATACTTTCAATGCTAATAATAAATTTTAAGTACACGCTTTGTTTTGCAAAATTGATAAATCCTTTGTCTCCGACGACTCGGCAAAAGCACAGTGAAAAATTCGAGGAAGATCAAATTTGAGAGACGAGGCAGGAAAGTTAATTTCAAGATCACAAAAGCAATAAAAACACAACGACAATGTGAGAAAATATTGACTCGATTAGAAGCAATGAAATATTTTTTTTTAAATTTTACACACCGATTTCTAAAACCATCACAGGCTATGTAATTCAAAAGCCATACTAGAAAATACAAATTTGATACACACCGCCGAAATTCCATCACAACATACGGAGTTTTCGAGTTTTTAAAATAATAGGAAACAATCTTGAATACAATCGCTGCAGCTTGAAGGATTTCTTGAGTCGGAAATCCGGACTCCAATCACACACGACGAAAGGAAAGGTGGAATTGAGGCAGGGGGCGAATGAGAAAGAGAAGAGGAAGGAGAAGGAGGAAGTCGCTGGCGGAGCGGAGCAGGTCGCGGCCTTTAATAGGCTTCCCGATTCCGCTTTGTGCGTCGCGACAGGCGAAAACGGCTTGCTGTAGCCCGCGGCACGTCGCCCGTCTGGACGTCTCGCGCCCGCCAACAAGCGCGACAAATTATATCAGACGGGTTCCCCTGCTTTGGTGGAAACCAGAATGCGACACTCTGGATACAGTTGGCTCTTAACCTAGATAATTAAAATTATTGGGTAACTCAAAAGACAGATTCCTTCTTTTTGAAATAAAACATAGATAATTACAATTATTGGGTAACTCAAGACAGATTCATTACTTTTGAAATGTATTTCGTTAACCGTGTACTAAATGTATGTATCATTACAATTTTTTAAATGTTACATTACTACCTTCAGGCGTATTTTCAAAACAAACTCCCCACCACAACAGTAAACACAGACAGTTTTTTGACCCTCTCTGATCATCATGTCTCAGATAAGACTTCGCATATTTAATCCTCAAACATTTATTTTGATTTACTTAACGTGTCCATGTACTCAATAAATTCATCTGTCAAAGCCGTTTTCTAAACTATGTAAATATTATTTAGTGTACTCTCAAGTATCGTGTTCATTTACTAAGGGCCTTCGGGTCAAGCCAGAAATAAAAAAGGATAATTTTCAACAGTGAAGATTTAAAACAAATCCCAAGTTCAGCGAGTGGAGATTGCGAAGGGCAAGGCGACGTGAAATGCACGAACCGTACTAATAGGACGAGTATTTATTCAACAACATTATTGGTTTATTGGTTATTTTTTGTGGGGGAATTTTCAAACAAATAATTGCAGGCGCGCCAACCATTTTATTTAATTCTGGCTTCCAAACAACAAATAATGGGGATGATGATTGCTCTTGACTCAAATAATAGTGTTGTCCAAGAAAACTCCTGCAATTTCTTTAACGTAAAATCTACGTAGATCAATAATTGAAAGTAAATTGCAAAAAAATTGTTGAGTTTGATCCGCAAAACAATATGTCACGAATATTTCATATTTATATTTTAGTTGGAATTTCATTCATTCACTACCGTAGTGTAATTCTAGCCATTCATTCATTCATTCATCAAAGTGAATTGCAATGAATTGTTTGATCCTAAAACACATGTCACAAATATTTCATATTTATAATTTATTTAGTAGAATATTATCTTCCGTAGAGATCCAAGAAAGCAAAGCTTCCCATCTGTCCGAAGCGTCATTAGGGCGTGAGGCGTTAAGCTCGGATTGCGTGGAAGACCGACGTGAAATAGCCGAATCGCACGTCGAGGATAGTATTATACAACGCCATATATTATTGTTTGTTTATTGTTGGGGGTTTTCCAAATAAAAAAGTTAAAGGCGCGCCAACAATTTTTTTAAAAAATCTGGCTTTCGAGAAGCAGATAACTGACGATGACGCTAAGGTTCGAGCGCTGCTCTTGACTTAAATAATAATGTTGCTCAAGACACTTCTGTCATTCTTTAAATATACAAGATTATAATTCAAAGTTAATTTCAATATATTGAGTTTGATCCGTAAACAAAATGTCACGAATCTTTCATATTTATATTTTATTTGGTAGAATATTCACCTACCGTAGGGATCCAGAAAGCCAAAGCTCCCCATCTTTCCCGAAGCGTCATTAGAGCGTAAGGCGTTAAGCGCGGGGTTGCGAGTGGCATAGCTGTCGTGCAACGCCGCGAACCGTAACTCGAGCGGCGCGGCGCGCTATGGCGAGCGGGGTCAGAGCGGCGTCGTCGGTTGGTCGCCATTTCATTACGGGCAGCCGCAAAGCGACGTAATTCGATCAACACGGCCTCTGCCTTGTCTCACGCGGCGCCTCGCGAGAGCTGGCCAAGGGTTAGAGAGCGACAAAGGCGGTTCACGCGAGGCTGGTGCTCGGCTGACGCATCGTGATCTCAACGGCTCGTGTCTCCATTAGGATGGCGTGGCAGCCGAAGATGTGCACTGTGCAAAGATCCCATACGCAACAAATACATACAATTATTGTTTTACGTTAAGGTTTTTGTCGCCTTCTTTTTCGTTTGATGCCCCCTGATGGGTACTCCAGCTAAAGTGAGCACTAAGAATACATGCTAAACCGTTCAATACATTTTCACCAAACGATAAATGATATAGGATTTCGTTGAGTGTAGTTGACAGTTTTTGGCAGTATTATGTATTACAAAAATATTGAACGAACTTCGTTTTCTTTAAATAGGTAAACTATATTATTACACCAATTGCCTATTCCTGAGAAGATACATTCAGCAACAATACATATGGCTGAGTACGATGATTAATTAATATTAAATTAACAGTTTTGAAATCTGTCGTCATAGTAGGATTTTGGAAATTCGTGGATAGAGGAACGCCGTGAACTGACGTGGCGCTGCTCGTTGAGACCTCTAAACTGCAATCGACAATGCCGCCCACAAGAAAAAAAGCGGTTTGTAAATCCCAAATGTTACATTTATTCATAACTTTCTAGCTGGGACGCTCCGGGCGTCCCACATAAAGAGACCTTCAATATTTTCTAAACAATTCAAGATATTGATACGTGGTTTTCAAAACGCAATTAGTAATTAGTGGAGTGGAGTTCAACGTAATGAAATTATGGTACTCTGTTTCCGAGATATGAAATCATTTTTAGTTTCTCGCACAGTATGTTAGTAAAGAGAAAGTTATGTAATTCTGGAACTAGTTATTTGATGAATTTTCAGGCCAAAAATGCGTTTTTAATGTTTTTTGACGTAAAACTTCGTACAAACTACAACAATAAGGTCTTTTCGTACTGTTCTAATGATATTGAGATTCGTTCTATTGTCTAAGGAGTTACAGATATATTTGTAGGCAATTTACATTCATAATTTTATTCTTGTGTGAGATGGTCATCACAGAATATTATATAACATAATTTATTTTAGTACCGAATAAAATTTGGTTTTCACTAACTAAAATAAAGTAAAATTTTACTTCTATTTTATATTTCTAATGTTCCAATAACAACTTCTTATTTTTTACAGCACTAAGAATTCGATTTCAAACTTGTTTAATAACTAATTTCAAGGAATTTGAAGAAATATTAGTTTCTTAAAAAAATTAAATATAGGCTATTGATAATATTTAGTACAAACATTTCTGAAAAAATTCATAATTGTGATATAATGCTATTTTTTATTAAATATCATTAACACAGTAAGATCAAATCAATAATTGATGTTCCAAATACAGTACCCAGAAAAATGAAGTTTCGATGTAAATTTACGTCAGCATTTAAATCTATAATAATACGTAGTAGCACTATAGTAATCGTAGAAATCAAAAATATTTCTAACAAGAACTACTCTTAACAGACTTCGCAAAGCGGAAAGATTTGTAGCAGAATCCAAAGACTCGGAGCCTCGGACTTCAGAACGTGGCTGTGGCGTAGTTGGCTTAAAATACTTCTCCAAATACCATCTGACCACCATCCCATCCATTAATTATATCGTCATTTATTTACATCCACCCCCAACAGTTACTACGTCCTCATTTATACAGTTAAGGCAAATGACAACAAACACTGTGGTCAATTTTATGGTAAAGGGAAGAACAGAAAACGCCTAACACATCTTCTTCGTCTACATTGAGAAATGATATTGAACCTCGCCATTCGCCCTGAACAAAATCACTCTCGTCGGGGCGGAGGTCAGCCGGTTGCGTGCTCGCCTGCGAGTGGATGATTGCAGAAAGCCAGCCGAAGATTCCTCATGACGATCGCCAGAACCGCCCCCCCCCCCTCGTCGATTGTGCAGCTCGCTGCGAGTGGTGGAGGAAGGTGGGGTGGGGGTGGAAGGGGAGGGGAGCTCGTCGTCGACTGCGAAGTAGGTCGCGCTCTTGGACGCCGTCCCTCTTCGCCCGTCCTTTTCATTTTCTGACCGCGGTCAGCCGACGGCCGACTATTGGAATCCCAATCGATCCTCGGCCTGCGTGATCAAGCTGGCGCGACTCCCACATCAAATAGTCGCCCCGGCACGCCCCGGCGGCCGCCCACCCGTTAGAAGCCTGAACACCCACACCGCCCGCCGTCCGTCCTCACCGCCCGCCCGTCCGTCCACCCCCGTCCGTCGTCCGTCCGTCCGTTTCACAGCCGCCGTCGTTCGTCCACCCTCGCCGTCCGTCCGTCCGTCCACCCGCCCGTCCGTCCGTCCACCGCCCGCCCGCCCCGTCTCGTCACCGCCCCGCCGCCCGTCTTCCGCCTGCCCGCCCGTCCTCCGTCCACCCCACCGCCCGCCGCCGCCCCGTCCGTCCGTCCACCACCCGCCCGCCCATCCGTCCACCCGCCCGCCCGTATCAGAGAAGTGCGAGTCTAAGCCACCCATATTGAAACGGGTACCTGTATGAATACAAGTGGGTTTGACCCATTGGAAGACCCATTTATACTGGTCCTAGGTATCAGAACCACAAAATACTTGTTAAACTCTTAAGACCTCTTTCCCGTGGTTTGCGGCAACGCCGCTTCGAAAATTTTGCAACTTCTCTGATATTTATTTTTTGTAGGATTCCATTCCATTCCGTAGTACGTGAATGGAATTCACAAGAACGGTTGCTGCTGCGGATGCCTTTGCTGATAGTGATATTGGCAGTGTTCTGGGATTGACAGATTGAATATGTTGATTTAGTGTAATTTAAAAATTATAATGTTTGTACCCATTAACTCTGCAATATGACTTAAAATGTATAAAAAAAGAATAGACGATGAAATGGGAGCATCAAGAAACATCAAAATACCTATAGGCACATTATTTCTCAAAAGATTTATCCATCTCTTATCTATTATTATTTGTCTTTCTTCCATCCTTCCGCACTCCGTAAAGTGCAGAAAAGATATAAACACACAATTATGGCTTTTTCTACGAAACACATCGCTGAATCCCCGTGTCTCTAATTTTCTGCAATGTAATGCATTCTCGAAAGGTGCATCTAATTGACATGTGCAGTCATAAATAGCAGTATTTAATTACCAAAGTAAATATATCATGGATTGAAAAGACAATTAAATGTTGGGGTGTGTATCAATTGATATTTGTTTCCCACTGTAGTTAATGATTAAATATATTACCGCAAAATGCATAAAATGAAAGAGTGAAGTGCAGATTGCATTACGAGAGGGGGCTATTAATTGAGGCATTCACTGGAAATACGGCGTGTCCCACTTTTCGTTCGGAGAATAAAAAAAAAGTTAATTCATAAAGTTCATTATCCTTTTTAAAGTTATATTTCAACGTTCTTTGACACGTTTTTTCTGAATGAAATATGTTGAATGAAATATCCCATAAGGGAGGGGAATTCAATTTTGTCAAATCTTTTGTCCAAATGGATACCATTTCGCAAACCCATGAGTGAGTTACAAAATAAATTCACAACAAGAACAATGATGTTTTTTGTAACAAAAGCATATTTTCGGTTATTAAAAAATAATTGTGATAAGCATGAAGCGTACGTTAATTACGAAGGTATTAATAAGAATAATTTCTTCTTCAGTGAACACCCAGAACGTGAACGAAGATTCAGTATACAGAAATTTCCAATTATAGGTTTTATTATCTCTTTGGCAGTCCATTTATCTTAACACTTAAAAATCAGCAGAAAAATAATCGTTTTAACTGTATTATTAACTCCAAATTTTAGTGAGAAGACGCTGGGTGAAAATATTAAATTTTCCAAACGAGTATTTCTTCAGCGTTTCGCGCACTGTCGAAATTTAATCTAAACCACCAGCGTTCTCAAATCCAGTAAAGTATTTAGTATTTATTTTGAAGTTTTGATACATTCGATACAGTCTGTTTTCAGCCACCTATCATGTCATTTATAGTCATTACTTAAGACTGATCTGCCCTCTTGTTAAAGAACATGTCACGATAAGCAAATTCTTAACATTCGTAAAACAAAATATAATTTTACTTTAAAAATTAAATGTACTATGTCTTTTTACGCAATCACAAATAAAATGAGCTTTAAAAGTAAAAAAGAGAAATATTAATTAAGTATTGTGACATTTAGTAGCATACTCATTCTTTGGAATTTTGAGAGGTATTGTAGCTTTGCGAAACAGCCTCTAGAATTCCATTGTTGGGAATTCTCATAAGATAACTTAAAAAAATCTGAAGAGAGGTCTAATTCATAGAATTATTAGAGCCTTTCTGTGGAGATACTCATTAATAGTAGTGTGTTTTTTCTGGTATTTGGTTTGTGGGGAAACCACATTAAACTTTCTATTGTTTGACAGAAAATGGGGTATGTTCACATACTTTTGCAAGCAATGTGTATTGATCTTTCGAATGTAACTAATCACAACAGAATCAAAAAATATACTCACCAGCAAAAGTACTCTTTTTCTCCACATTTATATTTTGATGTCATGGTTCGTGTTCGTAATAATTAACATTTAAATAGACACTCCTGTATACTGAACAACTCGTAGATAAATTCTCTTTATGAGGTATAAATATTGAGAAATACATTCAGTTATGGTTGATAGTGATTCAGCACGCGTCAACTACTACAATAATTATTCCCGTAAGTGTCGTGAATTACTTTTTCTTCTGTGGCGGTGATCTTTCCCCACTGAATGGCGAGATTCGGCGCCGACTTACCGTCGGCTAACGGTGTTTTTCCCAAGCAGGTATCTCTTTCAAGCAGGACATCGCCCCAGCTGGGAGAATCTATAAGCTTCCTACAGGTCTCGCGGCTTGTGTGGTAGTGTAATGCATATTAGAGTGTGTGTGTGTGTGTGTGTGTGTGTGTGTGTGTGTGTGTGTGTGAGAGAGAGAGAGAGAGAGAGAGAGAGAGAGAGAGAGAGAGAGAGAGAGAAAAGGGGGAGTATAGGAAAAGGATGAGGTAGAAAAGATTTCGCGCGATCCGTGGTCCGTTTATGAGGGTACTGCTCCGGCATTCGCCTAGTGTTAATCGGAGAAATCACGGAAAACTACCGATCCGAGCAGCGGGCCGCTAGAATTTTCCTCCAGACAGACTGAATTCGACCTAGATGACAAGCTAGTGTAGAAACTCCTGCCACCCGGAACCGAACCTAGGACCTTCCGGTCAGAGTCTAGGTTTGCAGTGACATCAGTTGATGCCCTAAGCCATCTCTCTCGATTACATTAAGATATAATTATATAACCGTAAATAAATCTAATTTTCAACTTGTCAATTTTTTAAGAACATTAAAGTTCACTAGGGTAGCCGATTAGTCCCTTCCACAACATCAAATAAAAAGGTTAAACTTACGAGCGCACCAAAACCACACAAACAAATATCAATCTCCAAAATACTATAATCCCCAGATGACCCACAAAAATTCCCGAGAGAGCCTTGAGAAACACAAACCAACGAAAACATCGCCGTAAAACTGGGAATATACTACAAACACTCCGACGCGCCCCCGACCGACGCAGCGGGCGGCGCTTTTACACGGGGGGCGACGGCTACTGGCCGCGAGCAGGGGGTTGCAAGGGGAAGAAAAAGAGAGAGAGAGAGAGAGAGAGAGAGAGAGGGAGAGAGAGAGAGGGAGAGGGAGAGGGGGGTTGTATGTGACGTCACGAGGCGCCATCGACCGCTGCCTTCGCTGCCACCATCGTCACGGTGGCGGAGGCGGTGGAGACAGGGGCCAAGGCGCGGGCGGGGGCGGCAGGGGAGGTGAGCGCCGGCGAAGGCGACGGCACGCGGGGCCGACGCGAGCTGCCGGAACCGGAGACGTCGGCGCCGCGTTTCCGGAAGAGGCGTCGCCGCGCGACGCCGTGCGACGCAACGCGACGCAACGCGACGCGACGCGACGCGCAGCGCGTGCGCCGAGTGGCCGAGTTACTGTCCTTGGCTACGCCGGG